CGGCGCCTCCTCCGGGAGAAATCGGGAGGGGCGACGATTTCTCTGCGCCTTGGACGGCGCCTCCTCCGGGAGAAATCGGGAGGGGCGACGATTTCTCTGCGCCTTGGACGGCGCCTCCTCCGGGAGAAATCGGGAGGGGCGACGATCTCTCTGCGCCTTGGACGGCGCCTCCTCTAAAAATACACAACAATATACTTGATTATGTTATGCTCGATGAACAGGTACTTCATGGAATTAACTTTTTGTTTGCACTGGTCTACATTTAATCAATTTTAATAGTTTTGGATGTTTTTTATCTGAAAGTTTTCATATATACACTTTATTAAGCAGACAGTAACTAAACTGAATACATAGTACATTTCTACTTTTGAAAACCAGCTGTATAGCATATATTACCTTTATTGAATCTTTTTTGTGGGGATATTTATGTGCAACTAATACAGTTTGTATTTTCTAAATGTTACCAAGATCAAGATTTACATGCAGCGATCATTGATATATTAATATTGAGATAGAAAATGTTTGTAAAATATACATGCCAAGTTGATGGAAATGGAGCTAACCAAATTTAATGCATAAATCAGAATGCAAAGTCTAACCAAGTTGGTGAAGTGGAAAATAGTAAAAATTTTCATACAATTACTAATAAATTGTTTTCATGCAAATATTTACCCTCCTCCGGGGGCTGGCAGGCCGTCCTATTCCGTCAGTCAGATATTCTGGACCAGATGACCTTTACCCTAGTCAGACTTTCCGACGCAAGAGGTACTGTTGCAAAAATAGATTTACTCTAGTTCAGCTGCACCCAACCATCCAGTCACAAGAGAATTTAACCCCAGCTCGGAAACAACCAATATGAAGCACTTGACTCAGTATGATTACATGTTCCCCTCAGGACTATCACGGAGGGGTACATGATATCGGATCCCCACATATAACCATAAAGGTCCTTGTACCTCAATAATGGTGTTTGCCAGGGTTAAAAACTTTGTTAAAGGAGTGAATAATGCAGCTGAAATGTCATAAATCTATCCAGCTTCAGATACCCCAGACGCCAAATCACCCAACTAGAGCTCAGACCACCTTCCTAGATGTATCTAACCAGGGTTCTGTCCACTTACAGTAAGACAGTCCTGTAAAAAAAATAAAAAATCATATTAGCATCAGTTTGGTAAATTTACATAAGTGGGTAGAAGGAAATGAAGAAGTAAGAAATTATCTTTGTAGTCTTTTGCTGGTTTTCCCTACTGGGCCCAAACCTCCCAGCCCATATCTGTAATATTCCAGCAATGGTGTAAATTTGGTTAAGTCTTTGAGTAAAATCTTTTAAGCTACCATAGATAACACAAAGCTAAATGCAAAAATATTAATGAGGATGCTTTAATGGCTGCTGGATATATTACAAAAAATTATTTAGATAGCAATAGCAAATTTGTTTTAATGAATTTTCATCTTGTATTCAGATGACATTGCAACAACCAAGTCAAACATGAAATTATCTTTCATAAATTTGAATATTTTAGTCTTTTAGATGATACATTGTAAGGAAATGATAATATGGGTAAACAAATGGTGAAACCAGTGTTCATGTTGGTTTCTGTTAAATACACACCGAGCTGATCTGGCTAGCAAATCTAGTTTACCCAAAAACTGTCCCCTGTCAGAAATGTTGCTCCTGACAGCTGTTGACAGACTTCGATAGATACTTGTGATCAGTATACTTGCTATACCATAGAGTTCATGCAAACAATACACTTTGAATGTAAACATAATATCGACGGACATTAATTCTGTTAAATAATGTTGAACAACTGGCAGCTATTATCTGTGTTCCGACCAGAAGTGATGTACAGAAATATGTACGCATAGCGTTGACAATACACTAGTGTAAAGTAAACCTACAGAAATTTCCAAGACGGGAGGCTAGTGATATGTAGCCAATTCATAAAGATTCTACAATAGTATTGATCAAAATAAAGAGCCATGGGTGGCATGGCTGTATTTTAAGGCACACACAAAAACATGGTTACCCGGTTTCGATTCAGATAAGTACAGTATACATGGTTATCTGACTTGCAATATTTTTAACCGTTGCAGCCCTAATTACAGTAACCTTGACCTTAAAAACCCCTATTGAACATCTTCATATTACAGTGCAACATCATGTAAAAAAAAACTTTTTTTTTTTTATTAAGAGATAACTTTTAAAATCCCTATTGCACATCTAAGACACATACATAGGACATGCCCTAATTAATCAATATTTGTGAATTTGAAATAACACAATAAAAAGTAATCGTTAAACAAAAGACAATTGCAATAGAATAGATAACATAAGACCAATTACCTAATATTGTACAAGTATTGTAACAGTATCACTAGAGTTATCTCCCTTATACCTTCATGTTACGAGCGTTGTAATAAAATGGCGTCTTCAGCAAGTCTTGTCTGCTGGTCGTGTGTAACAACGAACCCAATAAGTAATTTAACAGATACCAGGTAGTAGAAAACACACATACATCGACATGAAGGTATAAGGGAGATAACTTTAGTGATACTGTTACAAGTATATTCCATTGTAAATTGATTTGGTATGTAATGAATAAATAATCTTTACATATTTGTATGTAAAATAAATATTTCTTAAAACATCAAGTCATGAACACAATGAAGCACAAAACATGGAATGAAACTCTTGATTTGCATGGATGCTTGAATAGTACCACGGATTGATTAACACATTAGCATGTACAGATAAGTGAATGAAATAAGGTAATTAATTGCTAATTTTCTTATGATCTGTGTGTGGGACACATGTTGAAATTGAATTTTCAAACAAACTTTTGTTAACACAAACAATTGTGGTATAAAATGCAAATTAACAGAAATAATTGTGGTCTACAACTGTAACACATCACCGAGGAGAGCGATACATACAGTTTTATGAAATACAGTAATGTTAGTCGATAGATAGCAACCAAATTTACCTGTCGGTCTGGGGTAGTTCACTTGCGACATTGGGTCACAGGTCGGCTGTACCTAATGTCCATCCTGCAAATAAAAATAATATATGCTTGATTATCTCCCTTGAAATGCCAGCAAAATCTGAACAGTTATTAATAACACTTAATACTTAAATCTTCAAATTTTAATATTGCATTATCAATCATTACCTTTTTTAATTTAAGTATTTTACTTTTTTTATAATTTTTATCAATCAAAACAACATTTGACTAAAATAAGTATTTTTTTTGTTATTTAATTATATATCTTCCAGCGCAAAACAAAATAGGCGAGTTCACTTTGTAGAACTTTAAAATAGCTACTTATATGATAAATATTGAAGTCTTCCACATGATCGCTCATCAACCTGTAGATTATTTACATGAAACAATTACACTTTCAAAAGGATCAATACACACAGGGTCAACAAAATCGGGATTGACATATTTGTACATTAATATACATACCAGAACCGCTGACGGATTTCCCTTGCTGTTTTCATGGACGACGCTGTAAAGAAGATTGAAGATTAATTACAGTTAAACTTTTTGGTTAATGAGGCCTGTGACTTTGGAATTAGAAAATTTGTGTTGCGGTTCACAAATTATTTGAGCGTTTCCTAAATTATACTATAAATTGACTTTTTTCACCAAGATTCATCCTAAAGACTAATTATCCTGATCAATTTGACACATACATGTTTTTGCAACATTTCTCTGAAACTAGGGGACTAGTTGCACTCATAAGAAAAAAAAACTGTTTCAAAGGGCCATAACTCTTGTTAAAATTAGTGCAGTATACCCCTTAATGATATGCAAATCTTCATATGATTATCATGACACATACAAAATTGTAGAAGTTTTCTTGACAAGATTTCTTATACAGACAAACGAATGATTTTAACCTGATTTCAGTAACCACCCCCTTAACTTTGTTGCAAGGGGGGTACAATAATCAATCCAAAAATTATGACATGCTTGATAATTGTGTATTTCTAACTTCACCTTCAAAAACTTTGGGTCAGTTGGCAGGGTAGGGTGTCTTAGGCTGGATCATAAAGGTCCTGAGGGGTTTGGTCAGAAAATAAATGTTGTGGGTCAAGTCAGTTTTCATAAAATGAAATTAGATGATGAGGGGGCCGAGATGATTTGCCCCTGTACCTAAGTTTCAATACCAACCGAACCAAATCAGTTTGACCTGGCTACACATTAATTTCCTCAACAGAATACACCTCAAATATTGCTGCAGGCTAATCATACAACTGTACAAGGATAGAGAATCAAATATGTACCCAAAAAGGTTCAGACCCCCATATTCGATGATTGACTGACTAAAACATGTTTTTAAAACTTTCAAATGTTTAAATAATAACATATATTAAAACATTAATATTAAATGGCACTAATCCTTTAAATATCACTCCAAGCACAGGGGTTTGTTACAAATATATACATATGCTATACGGACATTTGTAACGAAATCTCAAGAGTACATCTTATAATGCGGAAAGTCAATCATCAAGGGTGTCTAACAGAAGCTGTACGCCTATGGGCCTAATATTAATAGATCCAAGATCATATAATCAGTTAATTGAAAGCTAGAAGTCATTTTGATGTGCACGATAATTAATCACACAAAAAAGTGATAATTCGACAAAAGATGAATAAAAAAAATGCCATCAATATCAAAAGCATTGAATCAGAGAGTAAACCTATAAGTCAGTATAAATAAGGCAACGGGATCAACGCCTATTTGCCATAATGAAGAAAATGTATTCACGTACCCAAATGTCAGTCCATGAGGGTCCACAGCGCGGGAAGAAGTGACGCGAACCTCGAGCTATGTGCATGTGACCAAGTGCTTTTTCATTGGTCGAGAAGTTAGCATGAACACAGTTTTCGTGGAGGTCATTGAGGGGTGCAGGTATAGACGGGTACCTCTGCCGAGGGAAAGTTTACATATGATACATTTTCACTTTTGGGAAGAAACATCGAAATCAGCGTCTTTTCTACCGGAAATATCAACCGTTTAGTATTTTGTTTTGCAACTTTACAGACTTTTTGTCCCTGTACGAACCCCAGCGAAGGTTTGATACTGTCCATTGCAAAGTTGAACTTTTCGTGGCACTAATCACAAAACTTTTCTTTTCTGATTTTCAACAAATTATTTGCAAGACACCAATAGTAAATATATTGCTCTAAAACAGATATAAACCATAAGGCCAGGGTTACAGATAGTGTCTAAAATGTGTCTAGATTCAAAATTTTAGTAAACACTGCATGCATCGGATACTAAGAAAAATAATTTATTCTTTTATGTATATTACACACACATGTTTAACTTATAGACACATTCTTACCCAATGGGGAAAATCCAGTATAAAACGCCCAGCGTAGCGATCCGGTTTTTGTTTTTTTTAACAAAAAAATAATGTTTGAACCCCGTCCCTTTACAATAATTCAGACTACACCAAAGAAACCAAATGTGTGTCGGGATGTGGAGGGAGAAGCACAAGAGTAAATACAAGCTCGGTGTTTGAATATTGTGTGTTTTAAAAATATCTTTGAACACCTTTCTTAGGGTCCTTTATTGGAGATCTTTTATTTCATTATACGCTTTCAGATAATCGACAATTCATATATATATATGCTTGATTTTAGACACCACGACTAAACTCAAACATATAAATATTAAATGTCGTTTATCTGAAAATGTGTACGTAGTGGGGGGCATATCATATTATGCTTAACGCCGAGCGGAGCGAGACGACTTTTTTTCTAACGGTTAAAATAGTGAGGAGAAATGTGTGTGTGCGTGTGCTATGTTTGAGTACTGTCTTTAACGCCGAGCCAAGCGGGGCGCTAACGGTTTAATATCATTGGAATGTTAAAAAATGAATTAAAGTTTCGATGGCTGAAAAAAGGGGTTCCGGACCACCCAGAGCCCTCCGCCCCGAATCCGCCCATGTCATAGAGGACGGACATATGTTAATAACTAAATGACAACGAACAGTGACTTACTTAGTGTGTAAAGATTTATATAGCGAGAGATATGAGTAATCCCTCTAATTGTGTGAGAACACACTAACTATATGATTTATTTAATAGGATTTAATAGGATAGATGATTACTTGCCTCTATGTCCATATCATATAACAGAACAATTTTAATTTAAAATCACTCCCGTTGTAATGATTTATGAAAATTCATCCTAATATTGATGAAAATATCAATTTACTTTACATTCCTTTAATGCCTTGAGGATATATGAGCTACATCGTAATCGTGCCTGCCGATACCAGCGGTTCATTTTTATAAACTTCGCGCCTTCAAACTAACGTCGGTATTTTTCTCGTTTGACTAACCTCCACGTGCTTTCAATTTCCATATAAGGAAATAAAGACTCCAGTTGTAGCCGCTTCACTCATTCATACGCGGAACTATATTGTAATATGTTAATGCAGTGCAGACTGCAAAGTACATGTATACACATATTGTATTATTCTTATTGAGTTTTACACATTGATACAAGTTAATAAAGTATCTCGTGAAGTCTACATCCGTAAAATGATCCTATATTGAACACCCATAAATCTTGTGACGAATATCGCAAACTTGTAGCAGACGATGCTCCGGTCCGACTTGTCTCAGCGGATATCTGGTGTTGTAGACTTAGCCTAATAGATCGTGAGTATTCAATATGACTATGCTTCAACTCCGAAACATCCATACTATCTATATTTTCATTAATTTACCATGTATGGTGTTACGGTATTCGATCATCGTAACTTGCAATTTTTTAATGCGAGTGCTGACGCTGTTGTAACAATAAATTAAAGATGGCGACTGCAGGTGCTCGTTGAACTCGCATTGAGCTTTAATGTATACAAAAATAACTGATACCCTTAGCTTACGGATGTTTTGTGCTCTTCATAATTGAAGCTGAAATTTTCTAATTCATATTCAGTGACTACTAAGCCACAGGGACCCGATAATTTGTTACAGCTATATTTTGATCTAAACTAAGGTGTTCAGAGTAATTTTAAATATTTT